AGTATGCGCTCCTACAATACATACAATTAAGTTACATGTTATGCATTGAATTTCTTAATTATAGTTACACTTTTCATGATTTTAGCTATTTAAAGCTATTGTAATTTCATTATCAAATTTATGAATTAAGCATCAATTTATACCTTTTTATTTCTGATAGACATAATCCCTTCAAGTAACCGCTTCTCTAAATTTTGAAGCTCTAAGAAAGTTAAGCTGTCCAATCTTTTCCCCTGCAGCTGCCTACAGAGTTCGATTATATAAAAATCGTTAGCACGTACACTATTTGTCATATATTAGTTGTTACATTGTCCAAACCTTACAAAATCAATTACGTGACATGATTTTACAAAATGACCCTTATAAAGAGTATGACTTACAGGCATGAAGCTCGTAGCTTTGTAAGTTCTTCACGCATAGAATTTACATCAGAATCTGGATTATACTGTTACAACAATATAAAACAGACAATTAATTAAGGTGAAAATGAAAACATACTATTTAATCAATAAATTAAGCTTGAATTATATAGCATAGTTATTGTTACGTACCTCAACTAGTTGATGCTCAACAGTAGCTGCATTATTGGAAGAATTTGATGCGGCTGTAGCTGAACGGTTGGCGACGAAATCCTTGTACCGTTGCAACATGTTTTCCATGGTTCTGCAAGTTAAACCACAAATCATTCAATGCTCAAGGAGTAACAATATTAACTAGAATTATTAGTATTAATATATAAATATAGGTTGGGATTATATTAAAGGTTATCACTGGGCTGGGCCAAAATTGGGCCAATTTTCAGGCTTTTCAGGCCCAATGATCAAGCCGGATAGGATTTCAGGCCATTTTAGGATAGGCTTTATACCTCTTTAAGTTTCAGAGTATATTTTTGTATCTTTGTTTCCACAACCCCACAAGGTATCATGGCCTAGACAGAATTTGACAATTTTGGGAATAAATAATTCCCCCATTTCACAAATATTGCAACAATTACCATTTTATAAAGTTTCTCAAGTATTGTGGCATTTATTTATTTATTTTTTCTCTATGAAGTATATCGCCCATTTCGATGATTTTCCCTTAAAAAGAAAGTGTGTTTATGGACTTTAGGAGTCTAGGGCACATAAATTAGACGATAAATTTCAATTATTGATATTCAATAAAATGTACTTTAATGAAAAATTTATCAGAAAGGTAAATAAAGGATAAAATTTCATCACAATAAAAAGATAAGTTTCTATTTTTTTTTAAGTACCAAAAAATATCAAGCATTAAAGGATATTTTTATTCTTTTTTTATATATATATATATTTCCTGAATAATGATTCTGTTTCTCCATCCACTGTACGAATTAAGAAAGATCTTCCATAACTTATAAGACATGCGAATTTAGTTGGAAAAAAAAATGAAGTTCTAACAAATAATTGAAAGTATATATTGGGTTTATATTAGCTGGGCTGGGCCAAAATTGGGCCAATTGAGGACCAATTTTTTTTTTTTTTTTTGAAGAATTGAGGACCATTTGGGATGGGCTTTATACCTCTTTAAATTACAAAGTATAAGTTTTGTATCTTTGTTTCCACAACTCCAAAAGGTATCATGTATCATAGCCTGGACGGAATTTGACATCTTTCTCTTACACAAATATTGCAACAACCACCATTTTAGGAAATTTTACAAATATTAAGACTATTAATTTGCACATGTTTTTTCTCATTCTCTTAACTTTTGTGTCTCATACCAAAGTAAATTGCCCTTTTCGACAATTTTCCCACAAAAGAAAGTGTTTGTGGACTCTAGGGCACATAAATTAGATGAAGAATCTTGATAAGTCAATATTTATATCACTAAAATGTCGAAAATTCTATAGTAAACGACGTGTATCGCAATGTACCACTATTAATTAAATATATTTTATATTTATTTTATTTTAAAAACATGATTCAACTCTAGCTGAGATGGTAAATTGTATTATTGTTTTGATTTGTGGTTTAAGGATCAAATCTATATACTCACCATACAATTTTTTTTTTTTTTTACTTTTTAATTTACACCTAGAGATTAGATAAAAATTATATTGTATAAGGAAATCAATGACATTATAAATGTCAAATCTATATCAATTTTCTTCCCCACGTATATATTCTTCACCAATTTTGATTTTTTTTTTCTTTTTTTGGGGTGATGAGGACTTCACCAATATAATTGTGATAATTGTAAGGAAATTCATTAAAAGCAGATATTTTTCTTTGTAAACCTTTCGGTCTCCATAATTCGTATTAGGTAGTTGTTTCAATTATTTTTTTGATGAGAGTAGTTGTTTCAATTAAAAGACTTTGGCTCCTCAGATTAACCAGCCAAAGCAATCTATTGAAGAATAAAACTAAAAAAAAAATGTATAATCATAATAAATCGAAGGTATGAAAAGCAGCACTAATCAATTTGATTATCTTTTTTTTTTTTTTTTAATGATATTTATTCAGTATTGAAATTTTATTTGGGTTTATATTAAATCTGTTACAATGGCTACCAAATTATTGTAGCCATTGAATATAAATCAGGGTTTTAAATTAATGAGAAGGAGAGATTGAAATTAACAAAAACAATTAATTTATACTTAGAAATACTGATTAGGGTAACATTTTAGATTGATGAACGGAGAGATTGATATTAAAAAAACCAATAAATCAGAATCTTCAAATCTGTTGAATAATGTTATTCCCAAATTATAATTTGCTTCCATCTTTAATTGTGATGAACGAAAAAAAAAAAAAAAAAAGCGAAGGAGATAGGCAGAATGAGAGATCAGGGTAGGATAGAAACAAGAAAAATACTGAGAAAAAAAAAAATAGAAGGGGTTAAGTGTTTTTTTTTTAAAACTTCACAAAAAAAAAAAAAAAAAATCACTGTAAAAAAAACAAAAAAAAAAACAATATCCAACTAAAGGATATAAATTTAAAAGGAATCTAAAAGGGATAAAAAAAAATTTAAAAAAAAAATCCTAATACATAGCGGTACATATCAGTTACAGTACATAGCATTGCACGTCATGTACGGTAGACTCTTCCCTAAAATGTACTATAATGAAAATTTTATTTGAAAGGCTGTTAAAAGATCATCTCAACCAAAACTTACTACATGGCAAATATGTTATATACTCTATCAAAGGTAAATATAGGATAAAAATTACATCACAATAAAAAGATAACTTTCTAATTATGCAAAAAAAAAAAAAAAAAAAAAAAAAAACATTCCTGAATAATTTGTCTTCATCTATACTCGTAAAATATTTTTGTATGGATTCTGATTCACCTTAATCTACCGTACGAATTAAAAAAGATTTCCATAATTTATAACACATGTTAATTTAGTAGGAAAGTTAACAAATAGGTGTAATACTTAAAACACAAATTATTTTTCAAGTCATAAAAAGCCATCCAAGCTTGTTAAACAAAAACATTAAACTATAATCAGGAAAAAATTGCAGGATATTTAAATTTACCTCTGAATTAATTAAGAAATTAACATTAATTTGGGGTTATTTTGAAGATTTCAATTATGATCAGAAAATTTTACAGCAATTATGTTTAAACAACAACAGCAAACAACAAGAATTATACGACAAAAAATTAAATAATTTACCCTAAATAATTAAGAAAAAGAACTTACGTTTTACTGCTGACAAAATCATATTTCTTTCCGGTACAAGAGAAGATTATAAGAGCAATGTCACAATCACACAAGACAGAGAGCTCATTCGCCTTCTTAATCAACCCGGTTCGTCGTTTCGAGAACGTAACTTGACGATTGTTGGTGTTCTCAATAGTCTTGATCATAATCTTTCCTCTTCCCATTGCTAAAAAAACAAAAATCTACAACAAAAACAATTTAAAGAATGTTTTTTTTTTTTTTCTTCTTTTAAATTTTTTTGTGTTTTTTTTCCTACTACAAAAACAAAGGAAAAAGGAAGAGAAAAGAGGAAGAGATTATTATTATTGAGGTGGGTGTTATGTTTTATTTTTGTGGGATGTTTATATATAAGTAGAAAAATAGAAATAGAAATAAGATATTAATATTAATATTAATAAATAAAAGAGGGGAGGAAATCTTATACTTGTATATTTGTAGTAAGTATTATGATTTATGGTAATCACTAAGTTTAGTAAGAATATAATGGAAAAAAAAGTAAGGTAAGAATTATGCCCATATATAGCTAAGTTACTTGTTTTTCGCATACAATATAATCGGAAAATATATAGGAAACTTTAGGAGGCACCTTGATTTGGTAATAGTGTTATAAATTACTTTAAATTATATTTTTAGGTTTTATAATTAGGGTATCTTTCTATGTTTCCTTGTTTTGATTGGTCTTTAATTCCTTAATGGAAATTTAATATTTGCCAGATTTGTAAATAACCCTTGCCATTTAAAAAAGAATTTATAATCCTCAAATCCAAGGTCACTTGTTTAGCATGAAAACAACCAATGATCAACATTTCTATATTAGATGAGATTCTTAATTGTTACTCGTTTCACTTGTTTGTATCTGGGTTCGGCTGTGGTTATATTAAATTTCGAGGGTGAATTATTTCGATATAGATTAGTGACAATAAATTTCAAATCAAACCCATTTGCATGTACCCGGTGTACAGTATTTTTACTGTACATCGGGTTTTCGCACGTGCTTTTTTTAAAAAAAAAAAATCGCAGAATTTCAAATACCTAAAAATAAAAAAACGCAGAACAACAATGGAGGAGAGAGAAAGTGAGAAAACGCAGCTATCAATCATCCATTGAGGAGAGAGAAAGTGAGTAATCGCAAAAATTGCAGAAAACGATCATCAATCGAGGAGAAAAAAGGTTAGAAAACGCAAAAATTGCAGAAATCGATCATCAATCGAGGAGAAAAAAGGTGAGAAAATGCACAAATAGAAGAATTCGATCATCAATTAAGGACAAAGAAAGTGAGAAAACTTACAAATTGCAGAATTCGATCATCAATGGAGAATTCGACTTTCGATACAACAAATTGCAGCAATCTCATTCACGAATTGCTACAAAAACAGAGGCAAATTGAGACTGAATTTGAAATCGATTTAAATCGATCGATTATAGAAGAAGAAGAAACTAATTGTTTTGGAGATGAATTCGTACCAATATTCAACAATCCAGACAATGCAGATGAAGCAATCGATAATGCAGATGAAGCAATTGAGAATGCAGAAGACGCAATTCACAATGCAGAAAATCAAGTGGTTCCTGATAAATCAATTGATTCTAATTCAGAACAAACAACCAAATCAGATGCAACTGAAGGTAATTTCTATGAATTTTTGAGATTGTATGCAAAAAGTAACCCTTTGAATACATAATTGTTACCCTTTTCATGCATAAACGTGGCCATACTTATGCCTAAATGTTACCCTCAGATTGAATGCAGAACTTTTTAGATTGCATGCAAAAAGTAACCCTTTGAATGCCTAAATGTTACCCTTTTCATGCTTAAAAGTGACCCTGTTTATGCTCAAATGTTACACTCAGATTGTATGCTGAAAATTCAGATTGTATGCAAAAAGTAACCCTTTGAATGCCTAAATGTTACCTTTTTCATGCATAAAAGTTACCCTATTTATGCTCAAATGTTACACTCAGATTGTATGCTGAAAATTCAGATTGTATGCAAAAAGTAACCCTTTCAATGCCTAAATGTTACCTTTTTCATGCATAAAAGTTATCCTATTTTCAAACGAATGTTACCCTTTTTTTTATGCTGTCTGTGGTTATTATCTGATTTGTTTGTATTAAATAACAGATACAAATCCAATTGATGCTTATGGTTTAGATCTTAGAGGATCATTTGTTGGTGTGGTAAGAGAAACTTTTGAAGAAATTTTGGAATTGTATGAAAAACATGCTGCTATACTGGGGTTTTCAATAAGAAAACATACAACTAGATTCAAACAACACACAAAATAGTAACTGAGAAAAACTATGTGTGTTCTGCTGAGGGAAAGAGACATTCAGGTCAGAAGAAAACAAAGTTAGTTGAAATGGTTGATGAAGAGGATGTAAATGTAAAAACAAGAAAGCCAAGACAAGTATCCATTACAAGATCAAATTGCAAGGCATGCATAAGAGAAAAAGTGAATAAAGAAGGACAGTTTGAGGTGGTGGCTCATGTTATTCAGCATAACCACGAGCTAACAAAGCCACAGTGGAATTATTTGCATCGTTCTGAAAGAAAAATGACAGAGGAAAAAGTTGTAACAATCAAAACAATGAAATCTTCAGGTCTAACTACAATGGACACTTACAATTACATGGCTACAGAGGCTGGAGGAGAACAGAATATAGGCCATAGTGTTGTAGATCACCTGAATTTCTGCTCAAGGTTAAGAATGGAACAAATTGAGGCTGGAGATGCTCAAACTTTAGTGAACATTTTAAGTCAGGAACAATCAGAGGATCCAAACTTCTTTTTTAGAGTGAAGTTTGACAAAGAAGGAAGAATTTGCAATATCTTTTGGAGAGATTCAATGATGCTAGAAGACTATAGGATATATGGAGATGTTCTTGTCTTTGATACAACATACAGAACCAACAGATATAATCTTATATGTGCTCCATTTGTTGGCATAAATAACCACTGGCATAATTGTATGTTTGCTTGTGCTTTTATTGGGGATGAAACGACAAATTCATTTGTGTGGTTACTACAAACCTTCTTCAAAGCTATGGAGGATAGAAAACCAACTTCAATATTCACTGACCAGGACCAAGCAATGGCAAATGCTATACTGGAGGTAAAAGATTTATATTGACATCTTACAGATTTGAGCTATGACAATAAAGTTTTCCTTTTTCACATAAAGTTACCCTTTTAGCTGCATAAAGTTACCATTTTTAGTGCATAAAGTAACCCTTTTAACAACATAAAGTGACCCCTTTATTTTCAATGCAGGTGATTCCTAATACAAAACTTAGCCTTTGTATATGGCATTTGGAGCAAAATGCCATAACCAGATATGGAGCTCTTAAAAAAGACAAAGAATTCAAATTTGCATTCAACCAGTGCTTAAAGATGTGTGTGACAGAACAAGAATTCGAAGCAAAGTGGCAAGCAATGTTGCAAAAATATGAGTTGACAGAACACTCTTGGTACAAAAGAGTGTATGAGTTGAAAGACAAATGGTGTCCTGCCCTTTGTAGAGATTTCTTTTCAGCAGGGATCTTATCGTCACAAAGGAGTGAAAGCACTAATCATGCCATAGGATTCAGAGCAAGTAAAGCAACTACTTTGACAGAATTTTATACCATATTTAAGAAGACAACTAATCGTTGGAGAAGCACAGAGAAATATGATGAGTTTACCTGTAGCAAGTCAATAGCATTCCCTTCATTGCCTCTATCTGGAATGCTAAAGCATGCTGCAGAGGTAAAAAGTTAACTGACAAGTACATAAATTACACCTAATATATGGCAATTTAAATGAAGCTACATGATTTTGATGTACAGGTTTTCACTTTATCACTCTTTAGAAATTTTGAAGAGGAGTTTGGATACTCTATGGCAACAACTGTTCAGATGTTAGGCAGTAATGAAGAATGCCTACTTTATCAAGTAACACTAGAAGACAAGCCATGGTCTGCACATCAAGTAAACTATATACAAGAGAGCCAAACTATATGGTGTACTTGCAAAAACTTTGAAGCATCTGGATGGTTATGTTATCATTGCATCAGAATTCTACATTTGCATTTAGTAACAAGAATACCAGACAAGTATGTTTCAAAAAGATGGACTAAGTTTGCAAAAACAGAGGCATGGGATAGGTTGAAGAATCAGGATCCTAAATAGCAATATATTCCATGGAGGCAAACAATGATGAGGAAATACTACAATATAATCTTAAAAAGTCAAGAAAATGAAGAGACAAGAGCATTTATGGAAGAAAGCTTCAGAAACAGTCTTAAAATGGTGGAAGACTTACTTGCTAGTGCTGCTCAGAAAGAAAGTGCAGAAGCTGCTTCTAACATTCCTGATGTGGCAGACAACACTCAAAGCAATACTGACGCTTCTTCAGCATCGAGTACAAGCACATGTGTACCAATAATTCTTGATCCTAAAAGGGCTGTAACAAAAGGAAGAAGCAAGAGAGCAAAAGGAGGACTTGAAAAAAGCAAGAGAAAAAGAAAACCAGCACTGCCACCTCCAAATTCAGAATTTGGATCAAAGACACCTAACTTACGACTCTTTTAAGATCTTTTTTAGAACATTTTTTTTTCGAAATTAATATACCTTGTATTGTTAAACTATTTTTCTTTTGTTTTTTTACTCTATGACTAGTTTAATGAAAATGTGATTGACACTTTTATTAGAACATGTTTAATTATTGGAACACATCAACTTATGTTACCCTTTTAACGTATAAAAGTAACCCTTTTCATGCATAAAAGTAACCCTTTTCATGCATAAAAGTTATCCTTTCTATCCACTAAATCAACCTTTTCTTTGGCAATAGTTACCCTTTCTGTTAATAAAAGTTAACCCTTTTATCAATAAAAGTTACCCTTTCCATGCATAAAAGTTACACTATCTACCCACAAAAGTATACCTTATCATGTATAAACTTATTATTTCTACCCACAAAAGTAACCCTTTTTATCCTTTCTATCCACTAAATCAACCTTTTCTTTTCTAATAGTTACCCTTTCTGTTAATAAAAGTTACCCTTTTTATCACTAAAAGTTATCCTTTTCATGCATAAAACCCCTGACCCTTTTATTTTACAGAAAAAAGTGTCCCTTTTCATGAATAGAAGTGACCCTTTTTCTACATAAAAGTGACCCTTTTCATTGCTAAAATTACCATTTCTAACAATAAAATCTACCTTTTTCTTGCTTAAAAGTTACCCTTTCTATAAATAAAAGTTACCCTTTTCTGCATAAAAGTTACCCCATAAAAAACATAAAAATAAACCTTTTAATTACTTTATGTATTCACATACATCAGTATTCCAAAAACAACTAAAGACTTTAAACTAAGTTTAATTACATCATTAAACTTAATGTATGAACATACATTAAGTTTTTTCATTGTTAAAAAAACCCCCTGAACTAATCAGCTAACAACTATCAATTATTTCACTATTTATAAGGAGTAAACTTTTTTTCCTGCTTTTTTGCCCTTTTTCCTTTGTTCTTTTCCTCTTCTCCCTCTGCCTTTGCTTCTGCTTCTGCTGCCATTTTTCTTTCTTCTGTTTCTCTCTTCTTCTTTGCAGCAATTGCAGCCTTTAATCTTTCTTCAATTCCATTGACATAAGCAGGATCTTTCTTCTTCTCATTGAACTTGTGTAATTCTAACAACACATCGTTCCTAGATTCATTCAAATCACACAGTACCAGTGTGGTACAGATCTCTCCTCGTAAAAATTTCCTTCCATTAATCTCAAATCAGCAAAAAAAAATAAAAATTATCAATATGTAATTAATAAAAGCAATAGAAAGGAAAAAACTACAGAAACTATATAGATAATTACTGTTTTGAGATCATTGAATTTGAACGATTCACCAACAAAATGGAGCATGTGATACATGACAAAGATCCCACAGTCCAAATTGTCAACTTTTTCTTTTCTCCATTCCAACTCAACAACTTCAAAACCATAAGAAGGTAGCTGAGAACTCTTTGGATGATTTCTTTTGCCAAGAAAAGCACCCATTTGAACACACTGACATAAAATATAAAAGTTTAGAATACATTAAAATCAAAAAAGTTAAAATGGAAACAACGAATCAACAGTAACATAACAAAAAAAACAAACATAAACATACCATCTTTGAACACAATTCTTTTGTATAAACAAGAGCAGAATCAGTCCAGATAATGTTGTCAAGATAATATACCAACTCTTTTGTATGATCAATAACATACAAAATGTAGTGATTCTCAATAAGAACAGGAAAATAGATCTGAAACAGCAAAATTAAAGAGATTTAAACAGAGCATATCATAAAGAGAACTCTTTTAAATTTATTACATTAAGTTTAGAATAAAAATACCAGATCAGCATCCATTATATTACATTCTGGATTCTCATACCTAACCCAACCTTCCCATATGTCGTGCAAATCCTTAACAGCACTAGATATGTTACCTTTGCCAATATTGTCACAAACATGCAAGAATGAAAACTATTAAAGTATAAGATCTCAATAATATATATATAAAGTAAATGTGTTAAGATATAAAAAAAGGAAGGAAATAACTTACACTCTGCCTAACACTAAAGAAGAATTTCCGAGGACCAGTAGCCTGAAAACATGCTTTCTCATTCAAATACAGACAGAAGCAATCAATAACGCACCATCGAATCCTGAGTGGAGCAACAAGGGACACCATGTCTTCTCTTGGAATTAAAAAGTTCATTCCAAAAGTAACAAGGCTCTCACTGAAACAATAAAAAATAAGATCAACATTAAAAAAAAAATATAAGAAAAAAAAACAGATAAAAAAATAATTATAATAAAAAAGGACACTTAACTTCTTATCCATTGAAACATCCTTCAGCAAACAATAATCGAGAATTTCCAAATGTAACTGAGGCAAATTCTTGAAAATCCGAGCATTGCTCTTTACAAAAAGAGTTACAAAAGGCACCTGCACACCTACATGTCCACAGTCCAGAGAGCATAGAGATTTATTTGCTCTGAGTCGAGGAGGTTCATTTTGATCAATATGCCCGACAGGAATATTTTGAGTAGGACCAGGAATGATAGCAGAAGGTCCAGAACCATTAAGGCCTTCATTAACTATTTTTCCATGACCATTGTCATCATCCTTAGGAATATTTTCATTGAAACCTTGTGCAGGTTCTTTTTCAGGAACAAAATCTTTGTTACCTTCTGTAGGTTCATAAAAACCGCGAAACATATCATGTACAGACTTCATTTTATTACACTCATCAATTAAACCATCTAAAATCTTCAAATAATGAGGATCAGAGAGTAGCAGTTCAGTTTGAGAAACTGAAACAAAATCATTAGAAGATAATGAAATACTTCTGCGAGAAGTAATCAGATCATTCAAGGTTTGAAAACCAGTTGACTGAACAAATAATAAAACATCCATATTTCTTTTAAACAAAAGAAACGTTTCATGAACAACCTACAAACATATGAACAATGAAAAAAAAATGTTACAAATAAAAATAATAAAATAAGTAGGAAATCTAAATATATGCTAAAAGTGACCCTTTTAAATGCATAAACTGACCCTTTTAAATGAAAAAAGTTACCCTTTTGTATGAATAAAGTAACCCTTTTAACTTAATATTGAAGATAAATTTAATGCAACTAAAGGGTAACTTCGGTGCAAATAAAGGGTAACTTTGGTACACAAAAAGGGTAACTTTTGTACACAAAAGGGTAACTATTGTACACAAAACGGTAACTTTTGTACACAAAAAAGGGTAACTTTTGTACACAAAAAGGGTAACTTTTGTACACAAAAAGGATAACTTTTGTAAACAAAAAGCAATAATAACTAAACATATAAGAAAACAGAACACTTACATCAGTTGAAATTTTTTTAATTTCTTCATCGGTCATAATACCTTCTGGAAGCTCAAATGCAACAATGCGACCAGTGGTACCACTTGTAGAAGGACCCTTATCATAACCCAAAGTAGGAGCTGGCTTAAAAATAGTTTCCCTAAAATTAAGCTGTGACACAGGATATGTAATAGTATCCAATGGTCCCTACCCATAACCACCAGCTTTGATCTCTAACTTAATTCGCTTCTTAATCTTTACATCCGTCCAATGTTGAATTAAAGGAAGAGTACTACTTTCCTTTTCACCTTGAAAATTTAGACGATGAAAATACATAATTTGCAAAGCCAGCAAACAACCACTAACATTTTGAGCATTTTCATCATCCTTATACTTCTGAACAACCTTCTTTAACTTTTTAAAACATATGAACACCAATCAAAAGTTTTAATTTCATCAACTTTTTCAACAGCTTTCAGCAACTTCAATGAAACAGTCCTATTAGTAGTAGGAGCTAAAAAGCTAGACATAGCTTGAAGAACAAAACACCTCTTAAATTCTTCCCCTCCATCAACCAAATCAACCATCCTAGACTCCAATTTTGACAAATGAAGAGGTTGCTTACCAGAAAGACCATAATCAGATCTCCATGCCTGAATGATACGTTTATCTACACTTTCATCTTCAGAATTTTTATTAAGTTCAGGAACACAAATATCACTCAAAGGCAAGCAAAACACATCGCATATATCATTTCTAGTAACAACAAATTCTTTACCAGTAGCGATGGTAAACATGCAGCTACCAGCATTGAAGTTTTCAACAAGCCAAGGTAGCATTTGACGATTAAGAGTTTTCAATTTAAGATGTAATAAACCTCTAAAACCAATTTCTTCAACAGCCTGTTTTTGCTCAGGACTAAAGTTCTGCAGCAATATTTCCAATGAATAGGGTCTACATCTTGCAATGATTCTTCTTTGCTCCCTAAATAGAAAAAAAAAAGAAAATGTAACTAAAACAATATAAAATAAAAACAAAATATAATTAAAAATGTAATAAAAAAATATGTATACTTACATAACAGATTCAGAATCAGATTCAGAAAGCATTTCATAATCAGAATCTTCCACTGTATTAGCTTTCTTAGGTACAATTTTGGCCTTCTTAGGAACTATTTTGGCCTTCTCAGACTCTGGTTTGTCACTCTCAGGAATTTTCCCAGCCTTTTTAGATACTGCTTTGCTCTTCTCAGGAGCTATCTGGGTCTTTTTTGGTACTGGTTTAAGCTTAGCAGGCTCTTTAGGC